AGAGACAGGATACTAGACTAAATGGACCTATTTTCCTGCCTTCTTTTCCTTAGTAAATAGACAACATTTACTCTTTCTTGGTGTTCTGGTGAAACATGCTTGGGTGAGCTTGGTTAAAAGCTCCACAGTTGGACTGCCACTAACACTGGCCATAAATTATTTTAGCTCAATTAAGTAATTTTTGGGGGAAGTCATAAAATTGTATGTGAAAAAGAACAAATAATCCTAAAATTAGTGAATCAGGCCCAATAAAACAAAAAAGACAATTTCTACTGGGGAATGGCATTTACTAGCTAACACAAGGATCTGAGGGAGACTTTTTAAAAAATATCAATAAACTAACCATACACTGTGTTGTAAGATATTTCATGAGCTGGTGAAGGAGTTGAAATAGCTATGAAAAAATAAATAAATTAAGAAAAAGCATTTTAAAAAATCAAGGCATGACAATATTTAAAAGATTAGTAAGATAAGCCCTCCAAAATTGAGCAAAACAGATAGGTAATGATGTGACTAAGAACTTCCTTACCATTCAGTGCTACAAAGGAATCTGAAAGAAAAACAAAAACAAGAGGTAAAAATCATTGTTTCTCAGACATACTAAGTATTTGCTACTAACAAAACCTCTTGTGTGTCTGTTATTTAATGTACTGTGGTTGTACCCATAGGTCCCAATGAAAATCAACTGGGCTATGCTACACAAACATAGAAGATGACACAGGATCTGCCCCAAGGAACTTACACACTAAAGCCTCACTCCTTTAGAGACAACAGTGCAAGCAGACCCCAGCCACTGCACGACTCTCTTTGTAGGATCAAGTCCCCAGAGCACATAGCTTGATTCTGAATAATTTCTCATCCTTATTTTATAGTTAATTGACCTCAAATATCACCCCACTGCCTTTCAACCTATTTGAGCCATTTCTTATAATCATTGCAGTAGAAAAAGGTCCCAAGGAGGGACAGTTACCTCACAGACCATTAGTTATCAAACATTTAAATAGTTAAAGCCTCAACTTATGCATACTTTAAACTCTGCAAGTGATGGCTGTCTGATTGTGTTCAAGTCATTCAGTGTTTGCTTATGGAGAAATTTGGAGAAATCCCTACTCTGACTTTTCCATGTCTCAAGCTGAGTTTTGGAGGTATTTGATATTTTACGGAGGACTAAACCTAGAGTGAGATAGCCGTTGGTATCTCTATGTCCATGGAACAGTGGTATGTGGCGAAGGATGCTATGGAATTCTCTGTTTCAACTACAACTTTTTACAGAGTAAATATAAAAAAAGGCTTGATCCTGCTGACATTGCAGGTAATGACAAAAACTCACAAAGACTTTAAGAAAAGTGAGACTGAGCCCATACAAAATAAGGGCCATTTAAATACTGTCCTGAGAGAGATGCCATGGGAAGCACTGCAGGAATGTGTATTAAAGCTTTCTAGTAACCCAGATTTCAGTGTACCCTGTCCTCCTCACCCATGAGTCAAGACTGATGTGGGAGTAAGATGAGAACATACATAAGAACATAAGAATAGCCATACTGGATCATCTAGCTGAGTATCCTGTCTTCTATCAGTAACCAATGTCAGGTGCCCCAGAGGTGATAAAAGGAACAGATAATCCTCAAGTGAGCTATCCCTGGTCATTCAATCCCACCTTCTAGCAAACAGTGGCTAGGAAGACCATCCTGTCTAATAGCCATCGATGGATCTATCCTCCATGAATTCATCTAGTTCTTTTCGGGATTCTGTTATAGTTTTGGCCTCCCAACAACTTCTGGCAAAGAGCACTACAGACTGAGTGCACATTGTATTAAGAAATATTTTCTTTTGTTTGTTTTAAACCTATCTTTTGGTGACCCCTGGTTCTTGTGTTATGAGGAGTAAATCTCACTTCTTTATATACTTTCTCCATACTAGTCATGATTTTATAGACCTCTATCATATCTCCCTTTACTCATCTCTTTTCCACACTGAAAACACCCAATCTTATTAATCTCTCCTTGTATAGAAGCCATTCCATACCCCTAGTCATTTTTGTTGCCCTTTTCTGAATCTTTTCCAATTACAATATACCTTTTTTGAGCTGGGGCAACCACATATACACATAGTTTTCAAGATGGGAGCATACCATGGATATATAGAGACAATATGATAGTTTTTTGTCTTATTCTATATCCCTTTTTTCATGATTCCTAACATTTTTTAAATGTTTGCACATTGAGTGAATATTTTCAGAAAACTATCCACAATGACACCAAGATCTTTCTTGAGTGGTAAGAGCTAATTTTTAGACCCCATCATTTTATATGTATAGTTGGGATTTTGTTTTCCCCAATGAGCATTACTTTGCATTTACCAACATTGAATTTTATCTGCCATTTTGTTGCCCAGTCAGCTAGTTTTGTGAGATCCCTTTGAAGCTCTTTGCAGTCTGATTTGGACTTAACAACCTTCAATAATTTTGTAGCATCTCCAAATTTTGCCACCTCATTGTTTACCTCTTTTTTCAGCTCCTTTATGAATAAGTTGAGTAGTGTTCATCCCAATACAGACCCCTGGGAGACACCGCTATTTGTAAATTTCCATTGTGAAAAACTTATTTATTCCTATCCTTTGTTTCCTATCTTTTAACCAATCGCTGAAAGTACCTTCCCCCTTTTCCCCTATGACAACCTACTTTGCTTAAGAGCCTTTGGTGAGGAAACTTGTCAAAGGCCTTCTGAAAATCTAAGTACATCTGTTCCAAAAGATTAAATCCCAAGCTCTCCCAACCAGAGTGTCTGCAATAAGAAATGGCTGTATAAAGAGAAAGAGGTCCTGGCATTCTCTGCAGTGTGCCTATGCAGGAGTCAAGCACATTCTGGCCTTCAGTCAACATGCTTCATTGTTATTTATTCCATAAGTGTTGGCTCACTCTACATTAACTCCTCAGCTCCAGCAGTCTTATTGTGGCCACAGGCAGCAGTGGAAATTGTTTTGTGAAGAATTGGGTTCATGGTTTCATGGGTTTAAAATAATGTCCAGGTTCTGAATTAATCCAACATAGGCAAGAATAAGAATGATGGCTGTCTTGAATGCAGCCCGAGGTATTTCTGGGGTCTCCAATCAGCACATAAGGTTTCACTGCATGTGACGTGCTGCAGTCCCTGAGAGCCAGACTCTTTAAGGGCTGAGTGACAGCTTTCACTCTGAATTTCCAAGGTACAAAGAGGCATATTTTCCAAAATGTCATACAGGGATTGTGCTTCAGAATTCCACTGCTGGGAATGATGGGGTGAAATCCTGCACTCTTGCCACACTAGAAATTTACCTTGTAAAGTTATATGTGGTATTTGTGTATTAAATCTCTCTCTAATTAAAAGAGCTTAGGCTCTTTAAGGATATTAAGGTATGTTAAGTATGTCAAATGAAGCTCAATGTATCCGTAAGCACTGCTGAACAAATTTTGAAATAAATATTTTGTGTAAAGCCATGCCATGGGAGTAGTTATTAAAAGGATTTTTGGCATGGGTTTTAAAATGTCCCTCATGGAATTAGCACATAGAGGCAGATTTAAAGGGTTATTTTAAAAAAATCACTTCACATGTACAGTCCAAAAGGCCACATTTTCTGAGCCCATGCTCATTATGTTGACTAGCACCTTACTTGACCACAGTGCTTTGTACTTCAATGTGAATACTTTAGGTGCTCGTGGTAAACTCATATGATCATACTATGGCCACTAGTGATTAGTGTTCATTCAAACTCATTGCCTACATTGTCCCCGTTAGTAAATGTGCATAAATCAAGAAAATCAGAAAAGAACTCCATAACATAAACAAGCCCAACGATGTAGGCAGAAGCAGCCAATGCGTATAGGCCAATTCAGCCGTTGCCTAGGGCGCCGTGTTAAACAGGGCGCCCAATGATGACATCACGCCATTGAGGGCTGTGGAGGTAGGGGCGCCAATCACGCATTCCGCCTGGGGTGCCGGCAGCCTGCCTCGGGCCGCCCCTGGATGTAGGCAACAAGAATGAATTCCTGACACCATTACTATCAAGGTCAAAATGCCCACTGATCTATGTGGAGTCTAGATTTCATCCCTAGAGTTTTAGATGCACAAATAATAAAGGGTTTGGCTTATTATGTGCAAAATTATATTTTCCTAAAGTCTAAACTTAAATATGCTTAATCTAAAAGAACTTTTGGCACATGACGCAGCCCATAAAAATGATGATGGGTCACTGCACTGCCCCAGAAGCATCCCAAGTCAGCACTTGTCTCTCCAGGAGCTGCACTTCCCTCTATGCTGATCCTTACTGCTGAGGGGTTACCTCTGGCCATCCAGTTGCAAATTACTGCCTCCCACTACATGCTGTCTCAGCTGTGTTGGCCAGTGAGTAGGTAGTGGAGACAAGGCAATAGACACTCCTCACTCCTCCTCAAGTCACTGCTGTTCCAGGGAGGGTAGCCTTGCTTACCCCTGTGGGCTGGGACTCAAGGTCTGAGAAAAGAGAGCAAAGGAGCTCTCACTGTCATGTATGGGAAAACAGACCGAGTCACAATCTCACCCAACATTTGTAAACAACAAATGTTCATTTTGCATTGCACAGCTGAGACCCTGCATGCAAGATCACACATAAATCAATCAAGCCCTTCACCCACCCTTGAGTTTATAACAGCAATGAGGATACAGTACTATACAATTATATATCTGCTATAATTAATATCCTTTAATGCTGGATTTGTCCCAGAACACAACTGACATTAAGACAAGTGCCACTGTTTGTATAAGCCAAAATGGTAATTGTTTTCTGTAAACAGACACACAAATGCTTTTCTTGTACTGGTTACTTTAAGTGTGGATGCTGCTATTGTTATGTGTTTCTTTGCTACCAGTAGAGCTCTGGGCAGGTAATGGTGATTTTGGAAAGTGAGAAAGATTCTCTGAGACAAGCTGAACAGCGAGTAAAAGCTTTGCTTACTTTGGCAGTCACCCAGACCATCTGTATTGCCATGCTCTACGTCCTGCTCAAATGCCAACCTAAACAACAGATAGAAACATAATGGTGTGAATACCAACACTCATAGGCCTCAGCGGAAAGAAGTCATACCCTCTAAAATGAAATAAAGATACAGAGAGAAACTGGTCATTTCTTTATTACGCTACTGGGAAACTTGCAAAATGCAAGCAGAGACAAATGGAGTTATTTACACCTCTTAATGGTTTCTTTTGGGTGCAGAAGATGTGTTGACATATTTTTCTGCAAAATCTACGACCTCTTGTATTGTTAAATCAGGCAAACAGATACATATCTTTATGAAAAATGGGAGAACATCTGCGAATAAAGTGATAAGTCTAAAACAAACAATGAAGCGATCAGCAAGCAATTATGATTCTATCTCAGCTTGCTTGTACTCTGCAGACGGTGCACTGATATTTTGACAAGAAAAATACATTAAACCAGTATGTAGGTACTGAGCCTAGGAACTATGATAATAAATACTACAGAAATTTCATAGATGCAGAGATAAATGTCAACACTATATCCTTTAATACTATTCTACCAAATGGCTGTCTGAGGCACAATTCACATTGTTGTAATGAAGAGAATACATCAGGACACTTATAGTTAACACAAATCCACAGAGAATCTTTAAAAAATCATTGTAAAGTAATATATATAAAAATAACAGTAGTTATGTATTTATTGAAGACCTTATAAGGAAGCAACTAAGCAGAACCTGAAGTACAGCCAAGGCTTAAAGTGAGCAAGACTGTGGTGTGTCAGATCTGGCCAAAATATCAGGTGGGTCTGTTGCCTGCAATGAGGCATTTATAAATGTATTTAAACAAGCTTTTAGAGTCCCAAAGTGTTGTCATGAAGTACTAAAATTCCACTGTTAAGCATGAGAGACCCACCAATTCCTTCAGTGTACTTTAGTGCTCTGTGATTCATCTTAGTAAATTAGGAAGTCTGGTTTCATTTTTGGTGGTCAAACTGCTTCAGTAATTTAATTTGGAATTTTGTCTCTTTTAATCAACTATGATGACACCAGTGTGGTCCTGACGTGCTCACTCAGCTCTCCCTCTTTGAGCAATGCATGGGATTTACTATGTATCTGTCTTCTCTTCTTTACCTAAGGGTAAATAAGCAGTGGAGAGTTTGCATCAAATTATTCTCTGGAATTCCATAGAATGCAAATGGGATGAAAACAAACATTTTTCACATTCTTTTTCCCAAGAGCTCCTGCTGGATTTTTTTGAACACTTGTGTCCAAAAATAATATCTGATTAGCATAATTGCAAAAGCAGCTAATTTTTACTTTGTGTATCTGAAGTCAGTGGTTACTTACTTTACACCAGCTAGCAGCTGTGTGCACACCCCACCTTCCTTCACCCAGCCACAGTATGGGTCTCTGGAGGCTATACAGGCCCTTAAGAAAGAAAAGATCATGAAGTATTCTGGAATTTTTTCTTCTTCAGATCTCTAATGCACATTATGGCATGCAAAAGGGTTTGAAATGTGGAGAGAAACCCTATCACAAAACACTTACTTTTTGCACTTGCCATGACGCTCACATCGTCCCAGGGGAATCTTTATCACACAGGTAGAGAATGCTACATATAGAGAACTGCTTTGTTTGTCAAGCTGCATTCCCATAATCCTCTTGTCTTCTACTCCATCATAGCTGCATCTGATTTGATAGAATAGGATAATGTTATAAAAGGGTTTTCTAGGCAAATTTAATTATGGCATAATGACTTTTTAATTTGAGTGAGTTACAGAAGGGAGAAATGATCAGGCCAGGGGAAAAGAATACAGGAGATCCATTGAAGTCATGTTACTAAGGTATACAAACAACTATTAAAATGGATATATACAAGGGGGAGTTCTCAGCAAGGAAGACTCCATATGGCCCGTTTTGAATTCACTTCCCTCCTTAACCTTTATGATAGGCTGCAAAACTATTCTTTTTATATTTGATGAGCGCTGAAGGTTGCAAGGTCTTATTTTGTGTGTGGGTTTTTGAAGGAAATCAGCATTTTGAGGGTGGAGAGTTCATTTTTGTTGATTAGCTACTGCTCTGTTTGTCTTTGTTGGACTGTATTGTCAGGGATGTTTAAGAGCTGCCTGTTATGGGCAATTGTCTATATGTGTTCAAACTAAGATAAATGAAAATCAGAGAGAAGTAAACACAAAAGAAACATTCAAAATGACTCTCCAGTGGCCATTCCTTTTTTCTTGAGACTACCTTCACCATGAAAATTCAGATGCTGCCCTGTAAATGAGTACAAAGAACCAGATACGCACTTTTCAGGATTGTAAATGTTCATCTCCTCCAGGAAAAGGCTATCATTTAGGAAACCGCTGTTTCCTGTCCGGGCCAAGAACTTCAATATGATTCCTTTCTCTGAGCCCAGGAAAACCACTGTTTGATTCTGATGTGGCCCAGCAGCAGTGTCTACTGCAATCTTGGTCAGACGGTATCTAGCAGGACAACATAGCATCTGTCATTACTTGAGTTAGTCTATCATTTATGTTATCACTTTTTCCATTTCAAATAATAGTTCATAGCTTTCTAGTAATTATATAAGAAATAGAAGCTATTTTTTTTCAGTGAGACTGACCTTATAAGTTCACACACAGAGCTCTAGTTGGGCACCAAAAAGGTGCTGTTTTGTCTGTGAATATGTATGTTACACAGCTAGCAAAAGTGTTTGCAGCAGCAAAGCTCAAGCAGCCATCTGAAGAGGTGCATAAGTGTCTGAAACCACTTAACAATTACCTTTCTAATCAGAAGCAAAGTGCTAGTCTGATGACTTCTACGAGCAGGGAAAGAAAATTAGCACATGGAAATGTTTAAAATGTCATATTCTGTTATAAAAAGCAATAGTGATGGCATATCCATATTCATCTTTTAGATAGTAAAAGCTGTGTCAGCATAATACTGAAAAGCTGAAAGCTAAATCAGCTGAACTTATACTTCACCACATATGACCATACCACTACCATCAGATAGCCCAGGGATAGGACAACATCAGCTCATGATGAAAAACAGCTTTGTTGAAGCTGAACCTGAGCAAGACAAAGGTGATGCTAGTGGGTAGAAGAAAACCTTAGAGGAGTTTGTAGCCATTGTCTCCTTTAGTTGAAGGAACACACACACACAATTGATAAATTTGGTTCATAATTTAGGAGTGCACCTTGACTATTTGCTGGTGCACACAACAGTTTTCAGTCTTCTCTGGTAGGATGAGAAATACCAAAGACTCCAGTCCTTGGTTATACATTCCTTACATATACCTGCATCGCCTATATGAGGACAGTAGTATGGCAAAACTCCCAGCCATGAAGCCTCCAGCTCTGAGGAAACACCAGCTAATTCAGGCGTGTTGCAGTACATCTTCTCAACAACATTGTCTGCCACAAATAAATCAGATCTATCCTCCACTCCCTTCCCTGGCTTCCAATAGAATATTTAATCAAGGGCCAGGTTCCCAGTCTTTATCTTCAAAGCTGTCAATGGCCTGGGCCCGCAGTATCTAAAAGACCATCTAAAGCTTGATACATCGGGAATTTTCTACAATAAGGATAAAGCTCATCTATGTGCAAGACAATCTTTCTTGAGGCCAGTACGAGACTGTGGAATAAACTTTCACAGACCATCACAAACCTCATCACCTTCTTCTGCAAGTGCTAGGTGTCCTGTTTGACCTTATCTTCTCTAACAAACACAGAGCAACATGTACATTAAAAAAAACCCTCCTCCTTTAAACAAAACCCAACCCAAATTAAACACCACACTGCACACACAATTCTCCCCCATGGGAGAGAATGAGACCAAGAGAATAAACTGTATGAGGCAGATGTTAGTCACTTCACTTAATGTGCTACTCGAAGGTGCTTAGATATTATCATGATGAGAGCAGTTTAAGAACCTTTACAGGATAGAATAGAAATGTGTTTCCCAACAGGTAGGAGTGACAGATTCTGAGGATTGTTGATTTACGTGCCTTTGTATAAATCTCTGTATTATTATTTCTTTTCTTGTTGTCATAGAACAGATGGAGGTTATATTATTATTTCTTTTTTTACACTTGTGTAAACACTGAAACACAGCAGCACATATCCTGACAGACATCTTTGTATCCTGTGAACATATCCTGACAGGCATCTTTATATCCTGTGGATATATTCCCTGGCCATCTGTTGAACTTTACCCAAAGTTTTCTACAGAACTATTTCAAATACTGACCCATAAGCTAACATGCAGGGCAATGTTCCCTGCTCTCCATTTCCTCTGCAATCTGGTTTCAAGTGCATCTTGGCTGAAAAGTACTGAAAGCTTTTCCAGCCTTGAAAGCCACTCTGAGAGTTCCATAGCATCTATTCAGCACTGTCATCATTCATAGCTGGATTCATGCCCAGCACAGCAGAAATTATTATTAGAATTTCAAAATATTCCTAAGTCTAGTTCATTAACACATCCCAACAACATGCTAAGAGGGTGAGGAAAATCCATTTGGAAGTTAGTTATTTACCTGACCATCGTCCTCAGGAACCAGGGCCTGTTGACAATTGAAGGAACAGCCTCATCCATGAGAGGGTGTGTTTTGATGAAGTTTAGAGTATCATCTGGGAACTCATTGGAGGTTATGTACTTTTCTAATGACACAGAGCCAGCACAGCAACCTGGCCTAAAAAAACAACAACAAAAGGGCAGGGGAGTAGTGCTTATTTAGTGCCTGAAGGCACATCTTCTGAGTGAACTGCTTTTCTAAGCATCTGGCACTAGGCAAGATTGCGCCAAAGTTTCTGTGCTGAGCAACTCAGAATGCCACCAAATGAAGTACTGTTAGATTTCCTTTGGGCCCACTCAGACCTTAGTGAATGTTCAGGACCCTGTTCTGCCTGTCTCAGGAATACTTAGATTTATTGCCACCCAAACAAGCAGATCATGAAGCTGAAAATACATGAGTCTGTAGTACATCCAGCCACATGGAGTTTATATAAATGTGCAGACTTATTTGGCAAGATCCTGTACAGGGACAAGGCACTCTCCTAGTTTTAACTGGCCCCACAACTGTAGTGCTTTCATATGGAATAAGTGCACTCCATTTAATTTTCAAGAGAAAAGTTGTTTTTTACAAGTGTGAAATAAGCTGTTCCAAATGGGGAAGGGGGGAACTAGCATCAATATGAACACCTTATTTACTGTGATTTCACTTTGTTTCTGACAAATATAAGAACCCCAGCTTGGCAATATCCTGAGCAAATCTCACTGAATTAAGATCAACTTTAATGAATGAAGTTAAACTTTTTTGAATTAGGTTTTAGTATCTTTGGGGTCCATTGTATTACAACTGCATCTTTTTACATGTTACTGTAGGATTGTGTGTAATTTTTCTAGGGACTTGACTCATGTAAATGTTAGGAACTCCAATAAGTTTGGGAGAATATGTGTGAAGTGTGTATCCTAGGAGGTAGTTGGGAGGCCTTTGACAGCAATGTCCTAGCAAACAGCCATTGTCTCCTAACTAAGTACTCCAGATCAAAGATCCCTGTATAAAGGATGAATTCATCTTTTCATATGACTATGCTTGTTCTGAGCTGAATCTGTGATCTACAAATATATAAGCATGGCCATTCTGGGTAAGACCAAAGATCCAACTAGCCCAGTATCCTGTATTCCAAAAACAGCCAATGCCAGACGCCCCAGAGGGAATGAACAAAACAGATAATCATTGAGCAATCCATCCCCTGTCATGCATTCCCAGCCTCTTCTAAAAAAGGCTAAGATCACCATCCCTGACCATTGTGGCTAATAGACATCAATAGACTTATTCTCCATGAATTTCTCTAGTTGTTTTTTTAACCTTGTTATAGTCTTGGTCTTCATAGCCTCCCAATTTCAATATATCTTTTTTGAGCTGGGATGACCACATCTGCATCTAAAACCACAAGAAAACCTCTGGGGTGGGGGCACGAAGCACTGCTTCTCCTGGACCTCATCTGAAGGTCAGGATGAAATCTGGTAAACTTATTAGCATAAGTGTAGGTTCATTTATTGTTCTAGTATGTGTCCTTTGTAGTGCTTTGTCCTTAAGAATAAAAGAGGCCTGCATAGGCAGGGCTGGGCAATTACACTTCAAGGGCACTTAAATTTAAATGGCTGCCGCGCTCTGCTGACCAGCTGCTGATCAGCTGTTTGTCGGCAATCGGGCAGTCTGGATGCGCCGCAGTCGACAAGGAAGCCTTTGTTGACGGGCACAGGTATGCCTCATAAAACCAGGTTTACCTGCGCCGATCAACAAAGGCTTCTGTGTGAACTGTGGCGCGTCCAGACTGCCCCGATCTGCTGACAAACAGCTGATCATCAGCTGGTCGGCAGAGTGCGGCAGCCATTTAAATTTAAATGAAGGCACGATTATTTAAATTGTGGCTTCCTTTCCCTCTGCCGATCAGCCTAATTTACATGGCTCCGTCGACGGATCCATGTAGTTTAGACACATCCCAAGAGGAGAAGTAAGCAGGCCTGTTGAGGCAGACTGTTTTCCTGGGAAAATCACTGTATAGTCAGAGAACTGGACAGCATGAAGATACCTTGGTCTGGAAAGAGGGAGGGCTCCACCCAAGTGAGGTAACTGTGAGGGAGCTGGAAACCTGAGAGTGCGGGCCCTTGATGCGCCATAGAGATGAATACAGGTGTAGTTGCCTGAACAGTGACATCCAATACTGTTGGCATGAATGAATTTGCCCAGCAGTTAGACTGAGATGCAGTCTGAGTGTTCTTGGATAATTGCAATGCAAACTTGCTCATCTTATTCCCGAAAAGTCCTCTTGTCCCCTAAGATAATCTCACATTTTAGCCTGACCAGAGCAATCAGGGCAGGTCTACGCTGCAGAGAAGATCAACCCTCTGGAGGTTGATTTTATAGCGTTCGATTTAGTGGGTCTAATGTAGACCCATAAATCAAATGCTCAGGGCAGCCCCTGATGGCGTCTGGTACTCCTTCTTCTGCAAGGAGCAATGGAAGCTGGAGGGAATGTATGCTCCCGTTGGCCTCCCATAGTGTGGAGCCATCAAGCTCAGCTTAAGGTAAGCCAAATCCAGCTGCAGCATAGCAAAATCAGGTTTTTTTCATCACTACTTCCTGCAATGAACTGCTCAGCCTCTTCCTCTTTCCACTTAATTCTTCAGCTGCTGTACGATGGGACAACAAAAGAGTAAAAGTCCCCTCAACTCTTTATGAACATATATGAATAGCTCCATGGAAGTCAGTTGCATTAGACCCATTTTCACTATGACACTAGCCCTACATAGTATATAGTCTCCAGATTTAGGTAACTTTTCAAATAAGGGTCCTAACATTGAAACCTTATTTAAGCACTTAAATAGAAGTGACCTTATTTTTTAGAGAAGCCTAGTGCCCCCAGCTCTCATGGACTTCAATGTGACTTAGAATTAATCAATAGTGCTAAATATCAGTTGCAGAGGCCAAATATCTGAATTCGTTCTGCCAGTTCATCCCTTGGCAGAGGTCATGTTGTTTGGCATTGGCTCAAAAGAAGCATTAAAATATTAATGCTTGACATATTTGTTTGGTAAATACTGGCTCAGCCTCAATTCTTGTGATGCAGCTTTATCTGCTGTGTGACCCCACATAACCACTGAAATGGATGTTCACTTATAAAATCTAACAGTGGTGCACCTCTCCGCAATATCCTTTATATGAACGAACACTTCAAATAAATGAACTTAGAGTGCTTGTGCTGCATTGAACCAAAGAGGCAGCTTAGTATGTTAATGTGCAATGGCTGGCAATACAAAGATGCCCTGTGGTAACAAAATCTTCACTGTCTACTCCTGTGAGTAGATAGTATCATGAAGGCTAGCTAAGCTAATGGATAGAGGGGGAGGGGAACATAGGTACTGAGACACTATGGTGAAGAGATCGCAAGATCATCTCATTTGAAGAAGTGGGTTTTTGCCCACGAAAGCTCATGATTCTCTCTCTATATATCTAAGGTTAGTCTCTGAGGGTATGTCTACACTAGAAAGTTAGTTCGAACTAACGGACGTTAGTTCGAACTAACTTTCCTATGCGCTACACTAGTGCTCCGCTAGTTCGAATTAAGTTCGAACTAGCGGAGCGCTAGTGTAGCGCCTATCAAAGTTAATTCGAACTAATGGACGTTAGTTCGAATTAACTTTGATAGGCGCTACACTAGCGCTCCGCTAGTTCGAATTAAGTTCGAACTAGCGGAGCGCTAGTGTAGCGCCTATCAAAGTTAATTCGAACTAATGGACGTTAGTTCGAATTAACTTTGATAGGCGCTACACTAGCGCTCCGCTAGTTCGAATTAAGTTCGAACTAGCGGAGCGCTAGTGTAGCGCCTATCAAAGTTAATTCGAACTAATGGACGTTAGTTCGAATTAACTTTGATAGGCGCTACACTAGCGCTCCGCTAGTTCGAATTAAGTTCGAACTAGCGGAGCGCTAGTGTAGCGCCTATCAAAGTTAATTCGAACTAATGGACGTTAGTTCGAATTAACTTTGATAGGCGCTACACTAGCGCTCCGCTAGTTCGAATTAAGTTCGAACTAGCGGAGCGCTAGTGTAGCGCCTATCAAAGTTAATTCGAACTAATGGACGTTAGTTCGAATTAACTTTGATAGGCGCTACACTAGCGCTCCGCTAGTTCGAATTAAGTTCGAACTAGCGGAGCGCTAGTGTAGCGCCTATCAAAGTTAATTCGAACTAAGTTAGTTCGAACTAGCGCTGTAGTGTAGACGTACCCTAAGGTACCAGAGGGACTACTCATTGTAACACAACTACCCATCTGAGACTTTAATGATCTTGCAGAGTCATTTCAAGCTTCCTATCCAGGGAACAACTTACAAATCAAGTTGAAGATAGAAAATCTCAGTCCTAGTAATAAAAGCAAAATGGTAAGTTCAGTGAGGGTATGTCTACACTACAAAGTTAATTCGAACTAATGGACGTTAGTTCGAATTAACTTTGATAGGCGCTACACTAGCGCTCCGCTAGTTCGAACTTAATTCGAACTAGCGGAGCGCTTAGTTCGAACTAGGTAAACCTCATTGTACGAGGACTAAACCTAGTTCGAACTAGCTAGTTCGAATTAAGGGGTGTGTAGCCCCTTAATTCGAACTAGTGGGAGGCTAG